TGACGCCGGCGGAGACGGCGACCCCCGCCTGGGGCGCGGACGGCGGGCACGGGGCCACAGGTGCACGAGAGCCGGCGGGGCCGCGCTCCGCCTCCGCCTGCGCTCCTGACCCCGGAGCCCCGCACGCGGACACGGGGCGGAACGTCGCGGCAGATGCCCCGCAGGCTCGGGGCGGGGCTCGGGGGGCCGGGGGCGCCGGTGTGGGAAGGGGCGGCGGCGGGCGGGGGTCGGAGGCCCGGGCCTGGGGTGGGGCGACGTGGGGCTAACCCGACGGCCCGGTCCTAATCGGATCAGACCTAATCCCCCTCCGCGGGAGCCCCTGGCCAGCTCCCGCCGGGCCCGGCCAGCGGGGCGCGCTGGGGTGGTGGTGGTGGGGGGGACGACCCCAGCACCGCCGCTGCTTTGCCTTCCCGTTGGCTTGCTTGGGGCACCCCCAGCTAGCCGCCCTTCACTCCGGTCCTTTTCTACCTCCCGAACTCCGGGTGGTCGGGCCTAAATCTCAAGTTTCTGGATGGACCAAGCAGTCCTGGCGTATGGACGCGGGGCCACGCGTCATTTGTCGGAGCCTGGTTCCTGATCTCAGGCGGCCTGGGGCCGTGCACCCGCGGCCCTGTTCGGTGGGGAGGCCGAGTTGCAGGCTTGTCACCTAGTTTAGACCCCGCAAACCGACTGTGTCCACCTCTCGAGGTGCTATGAACCCACACGATGACGTCTGGGTCTCAGCCTGAGAAGATGGAGCAACTCGTATTTGAGAGATGCTTCCATTTCTGTCGTTAGGAGGCTACATACGTGACCAAGCCGGAGATTCCATCTCCTGATGCGGCTATGTTGGTTCAAAGCCTGTTTCTCCTACAGGAACTACTGCTGCTGCCTGGCGTCCCTTTCCCTCCAGGGCTGCCTAGGAAACTCTACACCAGCAAACTCCTTGCTATCACCCTGGCTTCTGAGCCTCTTCAGCCTAGCCCATTCAGGCATCTTGCCCGGGTCAGTGCCAGGAACGACCAGCTCTATGGAGCGGGCAGGAGGCTCCAGTGAAGGCATGGGGAGTACCCATGCCCACCCCAGAACCACGCCCAACCCAGAACTAACTCCAGGGCTTCCTGCTGCCTCCAGGGACAGTGAAACATCAGGGTGAGCTTTGGCCAGAGTCAGCTTTCCAGCCCTCTCCGCAGTTTATCTGCTGTCACTTGTACTCTAGGAGGTCTCTGTCCTCTGCTTCTCCACCTCCTCCATTCTTGGGTTATCAGAGTTGACGGTTATGTGCCAAACTCCTCCTCATACTGAGCTGCCTGCCTGGGCCTCAAGGACAGGTCCCAGGTACATGTTCTCCAGGTGGTCTGGATGGAGGGCCTGCTGCTCATGTTAAAACTCTGCTCTGGCTTATGTTTCTTATATTCAATATGTTTTTACTATTTTTGTGTGTGGTACTAGGTGGTGACTACATCCTCAGCATTTTTTCCTCCTTGAAGTACTGAGGATCACCATTTTATCTCATGACAGATTCTTGCTGAATTGTCCAGGCTGGGCTTCAATTTAGCGATCCTTCTGCTTCAGCCTCCCAGAGTGCTGGGATTACAGGTGTGCACCACCATGCCTGGCTATTCCCAGTTTTTTATTTTTTTGAGACAGGGTCTTGGCACGTTGCCCAGGCTGCACTCACATCCCTCCACAGTAGCTGGGATTACAGGCATGTACCACAGGCCTGGCCCAATTTTTGAATGGGTGAAATGTGAAATATCTATCCTCAACCAGCTTCTTCCCTTTTCCTAGAGTCATATTCTGGGTTTTTTTTTTTTTTTTGGTACTGGAGATTGAACTCGGGATCTTTTGCTTGTGTGGCAGGCGCCAGAACCACTGAGTTAAATCCCTGGCCCTAGAGTCATATTCTGTTACCACTTTCTTCATATGTTTTATTTTGGTTTTGGCTTTTTAGGAGGTGGGGCACCGAACCCACAGCCTTATGTGTGGGAGACAACTGTTCTACTACCCAGCTGCACTCCCAAGGCCAAGTCAGCATTTTAAATAAAGTTACTACTCATTCCATCCTCCCTAGCATGTCACCTGGGGTTTCAGGACTAAGCACACAGCACACTTGGCAGGATGATACCCCCAAATCAGACAGGAAAGGCTCATCCAGGCAGCGGTGTGCTGGAGAGAGCAAGACTGGAATCAGATCAGTGTGCCCCTTGGAGATCAGTGACCTGAGTCTCCTGAAAGTGTTGGCAACTACAGGTCAATGAATTGTTTTTCTTGGGCACAGTGAGGACAGGCTAAAGAGAACTACGACATGAGGACTGAGACCGACCTCTATGTACAGCCTACATCACCCAGGCCCCTCCACTTGCATCTTGTGCATTTGGGCACCAGGGCTGTCTTCTGTGGCAACGGCTCCTCTGTGCCTGTTTCCTACTGGGCTCAGCACCCTGCCTCCAGAGCCAAGTCCGACCAAGCACGATGGCCAGGGCTGCTGCCTGCAGCCTCTGTTGCACAGAAAGCCACCAGCTGTCATGGAGGAGTGGGCAGGACACACCCATTGCTGTGGAGGAGCATGGTTTGGTCTGGACAGGCTGCCTGATGGTTCCTGGCTTTAAATCCTCAGCATTAACTCTAATTTGCCTTATTTTTCACGATTGTACTACAAACCTCTTATTGGTTCTATCTGCAAACTCAGAGTTAGTGTGTAGTGCAAGATCATGCTAATGAAGTGTTAAGGCCAGGACTTGAACCAAGATTCTGACTTCAAACCCTTTTGTTTTCATTCCTGCCTCTTTAGTCTCAAAATGGGGAACATGCAGAGGTAGGGCATCACTGGAAGCCCTGTTTCCTCCACTCCCAACCCAAGTGCTCCACTTTCACTTGGAGTTATGCAATGAGCCAGGCCCGGTGGCACATACCTATAATCCAGCATGAGGGGGGCTGAGACAGGATTGCCAAGAGTTCAAGACCAGTTTGAACTACATGGTGAGACTCTCAAAAAATCAAGAGTTAATGCAATGGTCTCATCATAAGGAACATTAACAAGGCTGTGGGACAATTGGCTCTGTGATTGTTTTTGGATGGGCTGTTGCGAACAGGCCTACTTGTACCATTCTCAGGAAAGACTGGGACTAAGCTCTTTGTACTGACCACAACTTCCTGACTGCAGGGAACCCTAGATTCCGAGTTGGAGAAGTGCTGCTCTCCTCTCACAAAAGGATGTCACAGCAAGGAAGTGGTCATCTTGTCCAGGCAATAGGACTGCTACCAGATTGGAAAGGCTTCCTGAATTTCTAATCCTAACCCCAAAGCCCAGCCAGATGGGAAAAAGCCACAATAGGGACAAGCTGTCAGAGTGCCTCAGAGGGGGATTGTGTGCAGAAGCAACCTGCTGCCTCAGCAGGTGACCTAAGCACTTCTCAGGGCCCCTGAAGGAACTGCAGAGTAAGCTGACTTGAGCAAAGGATGCCACAGCTCTGATGGGCATGAGAAAGCTGTCAAGTGTCAGGGCTAGGCCGGTCACAGAAATTGGCTGATGCAAATCACCATCCCTAGGCACTGTTGCTGCTAACTCCCTTCTACACCACCTGGCAATGAGGGCACATTAGATGGTAGACTGCCACAGAACCAGACTGGGACTGCTTCTGTCCCCTTTGTCAGCTGTGGTTACTGTTGTGTATTAAGGTGTGGTTCTTGCTGAAGCCTGCAAAAGGTGAACTGTAAGGGTAGGTGGTGGCTTCTTCCTTGAAGGGCAAGGCTACTTCCCAGTCAGACACCTGGCTGTTCCCAGAGGTGGAAGGTCTTGGGAAAGGTCTCTAGGGGCAGTAGTAGTAAAGATGGCTCCACACACACCTGTAATCCCAGCTAACTGGGAGGCCAAGACAGGATCACCAGTTTGAAGCCAGCCTGGGCAACCTTAGCATGACTCTGAAATAAAAAGGGATGGTGGGATAGCTCAGTGCAAAGTGCCTGGGTTCATTCTCCAGTACTGGGAAGCAGCAGGGGCGGGGTGGCTTCTGCAAGGCAGGCCAGGGGCAGAAGACAGGGATCAGACAGGGACCTCTTACCAAGTTCCCTGTGAGAATCAAAACAAAGCCAGGTGGCCCAGAGTTAGCTATAGCTGGCTCTGGAACTTCAGCTTGGGTTCATTCAACTTCCTCCCTCCCTTTAGTCACTGTGTATGGCAGTCTTAATGCTGTCCCAAGTTCAGGGTCATAGGCACACTGGTGGCATACTTGGAAATAAGCCAGAGAGAGAGGAAGCCGAGATCCAACATGAGATCCTGAGGGTGAAGGAGGGCGACACTTTGGAGATACAGCTCTGCATCCTATTCGAAAAGATGGCCTTAAGTGAAGTCAGTTCATGGGCAGGGATCTAGATGCTTTCTCATTCCTTCCAGGAAACATAGAAAGCAGAGACTTTGTGATAAAACAGCTGTCCAGACAGGGTTACCATATCTAGGGTGACAATCTGTCACACTGCTTTACTCCTGGTTGTCTCCAGGAAAACTCATATTTTTTTTCTTCCCGAGCACATGGTGCCTATGTAAAGTGCTATTTGTGCCCTGGTATCCCCCACCCAACTAGAAGAGGCATTGGCTGCCCTGGTCAAATTGACATCACTGCCGGCCAAGCCCAAGGCCTGGTGCACAGTAGGCCTCCAGATGTTTACTGGAGGAAAGGTCTCCCAGGAGTGGCAGAGCTCTCAACCTAGCACAAAGCATCCTTAACCCAGGTTCTAAAAGGGCAGCGCTCTGCCCACACTTTGAGTCAGCATGCCCTGGGAACTTGTTAACATGTGGGAGTCCATAACTCACTCCAGACTCAGAGGCAGCAGCAGAGAGGACGCCCTGGCAGCTTGAGTGCCTGATCCACACTCAAGCTTGGATCGAGGACTGGCTTCCCCACAAGCTCTGGGGATCACATGAGGCTGGCTGGTTTCAGTGCTGCACTAGAGGCACACTTCAGGGAGAAACTGGGCGCCCCATCTCATGGCACAGTCTCTTCTTCGGCTCTCTGGATTTAGGGCATCTTCAAACAGTGGTTACAAAGGGTGTGGACTTAGGTGTGCTCAAGAGCTGTCCTTGGAACGTGGAGTTCACAGAACCTTCTGCCCTGGAGGGCTACCTCATCTATGCCCTGACTAAGCAAGATTATTCCTTTTTGGACCTTTTCTGGAGAACTTCACTCATGGTTCTTCACTTTGAGGAAATGACAGTGGGGGTGGCACACTCAATTTTGTGTCCCCAAGGCATCATGCAGATGATTTGGTACAGGGAGCCTGGGGTCATGGATTTTAATTGCTGACCAAGACGAGGTGAGGGTGCTTTTTTTTTGGTTCCAGGGATTGAACTTAGGACCTTGTGCTTACAAGGCAGGTGGCAGAACCACTGAGCTAAATACCCAGCCCAAGGCTGAATTCTTAAGTTCCTCATAGGATACATGATGAAACTGGTGTATGAGTGCAGAAAATGGGACCAGAATCCAGAAATGGTATTTCATTTATTCATTTCCTTCAATTTCTCAAAACTCCCTCCCCTCGTTTTTCCAAAATAACAACACACTGAGAAAGATGTTTGTACAAAAACCACTTATTACACCCCCCCCCCCATTGGGTGGCTGTATTACAGGAATGAAACCAGATTAAAGACTCAAAATGAAAATGTCATCACTTATTCTGAAAAGTAACAGTATTGAATTCAGGTATTTTGTAGATTACCAGCATAGTAAAAATATTTCCACCTGGATCTTTTAAATTTGAAAGTGATCACATTAAAGACCTGAGGTTACAAGGGACCACAGTTAAGAACCAGAATTCCATTTTCTAGGACTCCAGGGGAAAAGTTTAGTATTTGGAATGAGTTTCCTTTGGGAAAGACTGGAGGGAAGTAGGGAAAACCCTGGCCATTGTTGAAAGGCACTGGGGTCTTTTTGGAAGCAAATACATTGGAAGCAAACTCCAGTAGGAACAAGCTCATTTCCATTTCCACCCCAAGAATCCAGAACAAACACGCCAAAGGAACAAGGTCTCCTTGGTTCCAGTATTCCAGTACTCTAACGCTGACCAGGTCCACCTGGTTAGAGACAAACCTGAGGGTCTGAAGGCAAATCTGAATTGTAGTTTTACTTTTTTGCTTTCTGATATTAAGGGAAAAAGTTCTAAGGTGTTTTACAAACACCTCCCTACACCCTCTCATATGTAAAGCATTAGAAAATATATAAAAAAAGATATCCAAAAGATGTTCTACCTTGCATTCCAAATAATAAAACTGCCACTTGAAATGTGAAGTGAAGAAGCAAGGAGTTCTGGAAACCACACTCTGCTGAGAACATCTCTCGCTAGTCAGAGGACAGGAGGGAGTTGGAAGAAGGATAAGACACAAAATAAGGGCTCTCCAGTCCCTCATCAGCAGGGGTAGATATGGGCTCAATTAAGGCATCTCTGTGACTCTTCCTCTAGAATGGCACCCACTCTCCCAGCCCGAGTATCCCAAACATTAAAGCATCGAGCCCTGGAACCAGTGAGGCCCCTGTACCCTCAGCACCTCCTCAACACCCTCTGACAGATGGAATGAGAGACTGCAGAAAGGCATGGGAGAAGGGATGAGAGGCTGACCCTGCCTCCCTTTTCTAATCCCATCCTGAACCTAGGTACCGCTTCATGAATTCCACCCACCCTGGCTACTGCAAGAGGTAGTTTGGGGACTTGACCCCCACGCATCCTAACCAAGTTCCATGAGCTACAATGTTTAACACTATCTACTTTTTTTTTTTCATTTTAAAGTTTTGTTTTTTTTTTTAAGAGGGAGGGAAAAAAAGCAGGCATGCAGAGCAGGCTATACTGACTGGGGGAGGGGTCACTGCCTTAGTTTCCTTTAACTTTCCTGGCTTGTCTAGGGAACCTAGGAATGCCTCCCAAATCCAACCCTCAGAAAAACACCACACCCACCCCAACCCAGCAAATTATCTGCATAGAAAACCAGAACCAGTGGGCCTGGGGAAGGAGTGGAGTCTTCTCACGTTTGTGCTCTCCTCTACCATGTACTAGTTAAAACAGGATGTTTTGCCAGGCTGGGCAGAGGCCTCACAAGGAAGTATCTATCACTGGGGTGTCCCCTGTTCCCATCTCTTCATTCTGGTGCATTGATGAGCGGGCAAAGTCTCAGGAAACTTCACCAGCAGCACCATTCTTAGCTCAGATAAGCAGAAATAAGGTCACTTATAATGCCTTAAGGAGTGTCCCCTGTGGCTGTATCCTTCTGCCCATCACCATTTTTTTGGTTCCTATTAACTACAGATGCTCTCCTTCAAAATCATAACATAAAAAAGGATAAAAATTAGAGGATTATCCATAGAAGCATAAGACAAAGCAAAACAGCAGGAGAGCAAAAATCCACACAAATACTAATGCTGACAGGACCTACCGGTAAACTGCCAACACCCCATACCGGGACAGGGGAAACACAGGCCGGTTTGAGGACAACCACACCACATTGTCATCACAGGCTTCCTTCCCACTGAGCACAGGATGTGTCAGAGCATGGAGAGGGGGTCAGGAGGAGTGGGGAGACACAGATGTGCGTGTAGCGCTGTGAAAATAAAATCCTGAAATAAACCCTAGGAGGCCAAGGAACTCAAGTCTGGCCGGCCCCACTCTGGCAGTGGCGGTGGACATGGAGGTGTCCTGCCTCTTCCTGCTACGGAGTGGCTGAGGCTGGTGGGCCTGGAGCAGGTGGAGGAGGGATGCCATCTGCAGGTGGAGGTGGTGGTGGCTGCTGCTGCTGCGGTGGAGGGGGATCTGCAACACACACAAGGGGGCCGTCACTGTTGGACACAGGCTGGGAAGAGGGCAGCGAGAAACAACACAGCAAGTACTTTCCCTGAAGGCAGGCAAGCCACGTGCGGCTGATGGGCTGCCCACTGGGGCCCACGTGCTCATGTGCAGACCCTCCTGGCCACTGCGCATGCTGCTGGCCCTGACCCTTGCCATGCGGACATGGACAGTGCTGGCAAATGCCCACCCTCTCAAGGCCCATTCCTTCCCAGAAGCATACCACACTTTCACAACTCCATGGTATTTTGACTTTATTTTAATAGTTCCCTTTACTGAGGTTTAAAATTTTATTTATTCATTTATTTTGTGGTACTGGGGACTGAACCCAGGGGATTTGTATCGAGCTATATTCCCAGTCATTTAAAAAGGAAATTTCTTGGGCCAGGGATTTAACTCAGTGGCACCGTGCCTGCCTTGAAAGCACAAGGTCCTGAGTTCAATTCCCGGTATCAAAACAACAACAACAACAACAACAACAACAACAAATGAAACAAAAACTTCTCTTTTTGTAGACAAGGTCTTGTTAAGTCCTTGTATAGCCCAGGCTGGACTCAGATTTGTGACTCTCCTGCCTCAGCCCCCTCAGCCTCTCTGAGGCAAACACAGGCATGTGCTACCATAGCCAGCTCCCTTTACTAATTTTTTTTTTTGTACCAGGGATCGAACTCGTGACCTCGAGCTTGCGAGGCAGGCAGCAGAACCACTGAGCTAAGTCCTCGGCCCTCCCTTCACTAATTTTACTTCTTCAGTTAAGTAAGCAGCTCCTTCCTGGCCGAATATTGTGTCTTCTTTTTCTCACTGTGTCTAGCCTCACTGGGGACAAAACATTATCAATAACTTCTTGCTGCTTAATTCTTCCCACCAAGGCCAGAGAACTTCACTACAGCAGCTGCTGACAAGGTGTGGAGGCTGGGGAGGCCCTCACAGCTCCTGAACTGCAGTCCTTGGTTTCTGGTCAAAACTAAGTCAGGTCCTGTTGGGAACAATTAATGTGAGTGTCTGGGGCTCGTTCCTTTTTCAACATGAGCTACTTTCGTATTCAAGGGAATCTTAGCAATTGTTTAATCCAGGGTTTAAAAAAATCTCTAGATCTTGCCAGAAATGAAAACATATGAAACAAAAGTAGAGCCTTGCTTACATTCAGCTCAGCCGGCCCTAACCCCAAGAAGTTTCCATCCAAGCCCCAAGCTCTGAGAGCATCTGAAGCCAGTGAGCACCTCCCTGTTCGTTTAGTGGTAGAAACAAGGTCCGAAGAGGTGGAGCCACGTGTCCAGTGTGGCCTGCCCAGAACCAAGAGCCCAGCCAACAGCTTAGATTTCCTCGAACAGTCATTCATGGGAAGTCATTCTGAGCACCTCGGAATCTCCCACACCACGTGGTGCTCCAGCGGGGACCCTTGAGGACGGAGTCCTTAAGTCACAACATCGAATCCACCAGGACACGACAGTGACACAAACCAGCAGTGTTATCGTTGCACCCAAATGGCACAGGCCAACTCTGCCGGAAGCCATTCATCTGTGCGCTGCCTGTGAGGTGGCTTGGCAAGCATTTTCTTCTGTACTCACAATACTGTGACCTCTGACCACCACACTCAAGGGAGAACACTGTTTTCCCATACTCCTAGCCAAACCACGTCTTTCTTCTGTGCACTATTCTGTTCCAGCCCTGGAGGACCCAAGGTGAACAAGGGAAGTCTGTCTGGGAAGCCTGTCTCCCTGCCCTGGGAGGTCTGCATTCAAGGAACTTTGTAATCTTCTTGCAACGTTTAGTAAATCCTATCCAACTGTTCATTTCTTTGTTCCCAAAGTTCCAGAAGGCCAGGGATTCTTATGTTTCTTATTCTTCCAGTCTTAGGACTAGGACCCAACTCCTCACTACATTTACCAGTTTCCAAACGAACAAAGGATTAGCAGTGTGGCTGGGGACCTGACTGGCTCTGGAAGCACGATGGGGCCGCTTCCTACTTAGCAGGTCTATAGGAGAAAAGGGCAGGGCCAGGGATGTAGCTCAGCAGTGCAGCACCTGTCTGGCAAGTGCAAGGCCCTGAATTTGATTCCTGATACAAAAAAGAAAAGAAAAGAAAAGGCAGGCCAGAGCCTCCAGAGCAGCCCTTGGGAGGCTGGAGGAGAGCAAGGGCTTGAGAGAGATGTGACCTGGCCTTACCATCCAGCCCCCGCCAGACGGTGCTGAGCAGCTCCAGTGTTCTGTCTGCTGGTGTGCGGGACCTCACAGTGCTTCTAACAGCTCGGAATCCTCCTCCCAGTCTATGCTGCCACCACCAATACATTAAGAATGGTTACAAGAAACTTGTTATTCTAAAAAGCTCCTGCAGGGAAAATAACTAGTAGGAACACTGTGCGTGTGCTGAGACTCAACCTGGACAGACCTCAAGAGGTGTGGGAGTGGAGTCCTCCCGGCCTCCCCGAAGACTCTGCTCAGAGCACAGTGTGCTCGCCATCACCTGCCCACCTGCCCACCGGAACCAGAGCAGTGACCTAAACTCATCCTTTGGAACCCACTGTCAATGCTAATGCAGTCCACGGAGAGAACAAAGCCCTTCGCCCTTCCTGACAGACTGCAGGGAAATGTGTCTTCCCCTGTGCTACTTACACATGCCGTTGGGTGCTGTGAGGGGCCCTCGGGGCCCTAAGATGTTCCCCGGCATCGGAGGCATCCCAGGAGGGGCAGGGCCGCTCCCAGCAGGGTGGATGTTAGCTGTGACAGTGGGCATCATGCGGCCTGGCATGGGCTGGCTGGGCATCATGGAACCTGGGCCTGGCATCTGACCTGTGGAGAGGGAAGGTGAGAGTACTATGAATGTACTAGGCAGGGAAAGAAGGGAGCAATTTACCCTTCATGATGGCTACTTCCCTTCAAAGGGTCTGAAATATGAACAAAAAAATCTGTCATCACCTCTATGATGAGCTTTCATTTACTAATTTAGGGGCAGCTGTGCAGGAAGGAGTGACTGATGATTCTAAACTCTGGGACAGGCAGACAGCTGTTAGGCCATCTCAAGCTGGGCATGGTAGTAGATGCCTATGATCCCAGGATTTGGGAGGCTGAGGCAGGAAGACCTCAAGTTTGAGGCCAGCCAAGGCAGCTTAGTAAGAACCTGTCAAGGGCTGGGGATTTAGCTCAGTGGTTCCACTACCTGCCTCGAAGGCGAACCTGAGTTTGATCTGGGTACAAAAAAAAACAAAAATGAAAAAAACCCAACCTGTCAGAAAGAAAGAAAGATCGACCAATTACAAGGAAAACATCTCTAAAAGAAAACATTCACTGTGATTTGGTGAGCAGTGGATTGCCAGTATCTTCCTGGGCATGCACAGACCAAAGGGAACAGAAAAGGGCATCTTCCAGGAACACAGAGCACAGGCCAGGGAAAAGTGCTCAGTGCAGCCTGAGCTTGTCTGAAAGGACACTGAAATCACCATCAAAATAGGGCTCTGCTGGGTGTACTGGTACATAGCTGTAATCCTAGCACATCAGGAGGCTGAGGCAGAAGGGTTGCAAGTTAGAGGCCAGCTTTGATAACTTAGTGAGACCCTGTCTCAAAATAATGGGTATGTAGCTCAGTGGCAGAGCACCCGCCTGGCAGGTGTGAGGCTGTGTCCCATCCCAGAACTGATGAAGACGATGATGAAAGGAAAGAGAAGGAGAGAGCAGAGAGGAGAAAGTGATGTGAAGAGGAGCAGAGAGAGGTGGCTATGAGCCCAGGATGCTCTGCACCCCAGGCAGGGAAAGGGGTATAGAGCACACTGCCACAGATCCCTGCCAGGGGCACCGCCTGGCTGAGTACTGAGCTCCTCGTCACCTGAGCTGTGAGAACGCACCGGTATTGCTGGAAGTCATTATGTCTGTGGTAATTTATCACAACCTCAGGAAATATCCATTGTGTCCCAGGCACTTTATGCAAGAGCTCTATAAATTTGAACTTGCCCAATCCCTGGGGAGAAAGGGGTACCCCGCAAAGATTGGGCAACGCACCCAGCATCGTATAGCATGGAAGTGGGGCCCAGATCTGAGTGGGGATCCATTACTTGCCTTGTGGCCGGCTCCTGGGGAAACAAGTCTCTGAAGGGGCCACTCAGAGCAAAGAGCCACTCAGGCACGTGCTGCAGAGCTGGCTGGGCAGACGACACACACCAGGTGCAGCACCTGTCCATCCCACGATGGAAGAGGCCAGGGCGCTTGCTCTCCGGGCAGGCAGCGCTGCTCCCCAAGCTACCTGCTCAGGGCCACTGGCTCACTTTCCTATTTCCCTACATCTTTAAAGCAGGAACTGGGTAGGGCAGCATTAGGCTTTCTCAGGGGTATAGGACCAACAGCTACAAACACTTTTCCTTCCACTTTCTGTGAACTCTGAAGTCTTTCTGAAATGAAGGTGGCATACCCTACAGTTACAGACAAGGTCGTAAAGCCACTGAGAGCTGGGCTCAGAGGCTGAGGCAGGAGGACTGCAGGATCAAGCGCATCCCAGGCAGCTGAGCACTTAGCGAGATGCTGTTAAAAACTCAAAGTGTGTGTGTGTCAAAATAAAGGGCTGCGAATGTAACTCAAAAGCCACTCAGGGCCGGAGATTTAGCTCAGTGGTTCTGGCGGCTGGCTCGCAAGCATAAGGTCCTAAATTTGATCCCTGGTACCAAAAAAAAAGAGGCAGGGCTGGGGATTTAGCTCAGTGGTTTCGCCGCCTGCTGCACAAGCGCAACGACCCAGGTTCGATCCCCGGTACCAAAAAAAAAAAAAAGGCACTGAGATTGGGCATCCAGGGTATAAGACAATGACTCCTCAGAAGAGGTGGTAGCAAAAAGGCAGGGCTCGCGAACACTGGCTTCTGCTCCCATGACCAGGCAGACAGCCCCACTGCCCAGCGGGCTGGGTGCACCCCAGCGCTGAGGGCCGCGCCTGTGCCACCCAGGCTCACCACTGCCACACAGGCCACGGCTCTGGGACAGCGACTCTGGAGAGCAGTCAGGAAGCCAGGAGGCCTGCTGCCTGCTAGGCAGTGTGACAGTGATCTCACTGATGCCCGGGAGAAAGACGACAGGAAAGGCTCAGAGCTGAGACGCGGAAGCCATGCCCCACAGAGGCTCTGGAGTTTGGCTCAAAGTTGCCAGGAAAAAGAGATGGAGCTGAGAGTCGAACTCAGGGCTGTCCGGCCCAGGCTGATTCTCTATCCCAGCCTACTTTAAAGGGGACTTTTCCCCTTGGAAAAGGTGACTTTTAAGGACTCAATGTGAAATGAAGTAGAATTTAAGAGGACTGGGGAGGAGAGAAAATCGATTTCTTGTAGCGCAAGCCCTGTCATCTCCAATCCAAAGCTCTTGCGCTTTCTGTGGTGCTGGTCAGATATTCCTGCGGTAAATAAATGGCACTGGCTTAAGCACCCTGCTAACACCTACTCTCAGGGAGGAGCAGGGCCCACACGAGACTCAAATGTCACAGAGGAGGCCTCTCCAAGCAAAAGAAAGGAAGTACTGTACCTTCCATTTAAGAAATTATCCAGGTATTTCCTTCGTTAGCAGATAGAGAGGAGGGAGGTGAGAGAAATGTGGCTTCAAAATAGCAGCACCAAAGCCCAAGACGGTGAGAATCTGTCCTACATACAAGTTTTTTTTTTTTCTTGCCCCCAAACAGCAGGCATCTGAAGCCTGAAACATGAAAAAGATCTGCTAAAATTAGGCTTAGCTAGTAGAAAGATTCTTCCACATTCCCTTAGGTTAATTAGATCTTTTACTAAAAAGCTTTTTTCCCCCCATTGTTTACTGGTACATTTAGGTATAAAATAGTTACATTCATCATTTGGATCTTGTACCTTTACATGATGTATCTTGATTCTCATTTTACTAAAAAGCTTTACACCCAGCCTATGGAATGGAATATTAGTTAAGGATTTTATTATTTTTCTTTGGGATGGCAGAGGAGGGTGAGGAAACAATGAAGACAGAGGAAACCTGCAGCCATCCAATCTGGCCCATAATTCATCAATCCACTTGTAATCGTCCACTCATCTACACCATGGGCCCTGGTTGCATCCCCAGGAGAACGGAAGTAACACAATCAGGCCAGATGAGGGCCAAGGGAGGGGACACTCAGGCTGCGGGGCCCAGCCCGCCTCAGAGGCTCTTGGTGAAGGATGGGGCAGCACGGCAGTTTCCCTATCACACGACACAGGCAGGACCAGAAGCACCAAAGGCCTCGCAGAGGGTGACACAGGGCCAGTGTGAAGAGCTACTCTTTCTCCCATGTCACTTCAGTCTGAGGCCAGGGAGTGCACTAGGAAGTGATAAGCAGCTGGAATCCTTTCTTTCCTCAGTACTATCTTCCTCTGGCAGGATTGTGCCAGTAGCTCTAAATGAAAGGCTTAAAAAGCCAGCCCTGAGTTGAACACAGTGGCCTGTAGCTATGGGGCAGGCTGAGGCGGGAGGATCATAAATTCAAGGCTAGCCTGGGTAACCATCCTCTCCGTCCCCTCTCCTTCTCTTTCTCTTCCCCTCCTTTCTCTGTTGTTTTCTTTTTTCTGGTACCAGGGATTGAACTCAGGACCTTGCACTTGCCAGGCAAGCACTGGAGCCACTGAGCTACATCTCTGCCCCCACCCCCTTTCTGAGACTTGGTCAGTCTATGTGGTCCAGACTTGAACTCACTATATAGCCCCGGTTGGGCTCAAATTCATGGCAGTTCTCCTGCCTCAGCTTCCTCAGTGCTAGGATCACAGAGGTTTGCCACCACATCTGGCCCTGATTCTTACTAATACATTTATGTTGAAGATTGAAAATTTTTTAATTTTTGCATGAAATTCACGTATGTTCCCTAGAAGAATTCAAGGAACAAAAATCTGAAAAGAATACATTTCATTGTGTTTCAGTGGAATAGGTATTCCAAAAGTGAGTCAGTAGGCACTGCAGGGTTGAATCTTATTTAACCCAATGTTACTGACATAAACATTTCTAGTTTTATCACTGAAATTATACCATATTTGAATTTTCATCAAATCAGCCCAATTCCAATTTTCTAGCTATTTCTAAAAATTTCCACACTATTAGCAGGGAAGAAACGATTCATTTTTATGTTTTGTTTTGAGACAGGATCTCACTGAGTTACTCAGGCTGGCTGGAACCTGCCATCCTGCCTCAGCCTGCCAGAGTGCTGGGATCACAGCCGTGCACTACCTCATGGGGCTTCTTATTTCTTTCTGGCTGAACTCAGTGGCAGGTAACCTTCCTCTGACCATGTACTGGGGCCCGAGTCCTGCCACTTCACCTATGTGGAGGCGCTCAGTAGTCAGAGGTGCCTTTCCCACTAAATGAGCACCACAGTGCAGGGCACCCGAAACAACAGCAGCCACACCCGGGTTGCTCTCCTCCTGGTCCTCCGTGTGGCGTGGACACATGCTATGTATAAGAACTGGTCACTATCATGACTAGGGATGTCACAGGGAGGAGGAGGAAGCCTTTAGGAATCTTGATACTATGAAACAGGATGAAGTATGGCACTGTGTATTTTATCAGATTCAGTCTAAAAATGGACGTTCCAAGTGTACAGCAGAAAAACGCTACAAGTTTAATTCTATAGCCTTTCTGTTTGGTAGAAACAACTAATTTGGGACATTTTACTAGACATGAATGAAACTAAAAGAAAATGGCGTTCCCAGGTGAGTTAGGAGCAGGACCAAAAACTAAGAGCCAAAGCAGTGAGCTGGCTGGCAGACAGGAGCCGGTGCACAGGCTCTGACACCTGACTGGGTCACAGTGGGGGAGCGGAAGCAATAGGAAAAGCTGCTC